ACATTAACTAGTGTGGAACAAGTGTTTTCTGTTTTTGAAGGAAAAGTGGTTGGGTGATCGTATTTAAATTGGCTGGTGCCTGGAGATGGGAAGAAGCCCTTAGGTCAGTGTTGGCTGTTGTATGTAGGTGTTAGTAGGCAGGGTCAGGATAATAGTGATCGTCAAATACATTTAGTATCTTAAAATAGAAACAGCGGGATTAGCACAGTAGCTTGTTATTCCGGTTTAGCTCAGTAACCCGAACTCTCTTGCTGGCGGATGAAATGTAAAGCATCTCCTGTCGTTAGCATTAGCCTTATATGCCCAGCACTCCTGCAAGAGTTAAAAATAACCCAGACCATTGTGATATGGGGGGGAGGAGAGGTTTCATTCATTTTTGTTCTATGTCTAAACCAAATGGCTAAGCAGCATAGGGCAGTTCAGTGGTAGTATCTCTCCAACCAAAATGGGATTAGTACATGGCAAAAAAAGGCAGAATGTTATTGTGTCTTTCATTAGGTGGTGCGCAGTTGTGGGAATGGCATTCCATTCAGGCTCTTCTATGCCGCTGGCTAGATTTTTAGAACATTCCTTTGCAAATATAGTGCTTTTCAGGGTCATGAGGCTTGTGACTGAGAACCCATTGCCATTTGTTTTTTAAAATGGGAATAGGACATAGTGTAGGAGTCAACTCCAGGGGGCCGTGGGTGCTTGGGCACCCGCAAAGTCAATGGAAAAAAGTCAGCAGGAGAGAAGCAGTCCAGCTCTGTCCTCCACAGCCAGCAAGCAAGGCGTCCTTTTCTAGAGGGTAGGGCTTGGGCGTGGAGGCAGAGTCTCTCTGCCTCTGAGTCCACGTTCCTCCCTACGAAAAAGGGTGCCTCATTGGCTGTATGACATCCAGTGCCAGATTTACGTATAAGCTAAACAAGCTATGGCTTAGGGTCCCACTTTCTTGGGGGGCCCCCGAAAAATTTAAAGGAAAAAACCTGGATGTACATTTCCAAAATGTAAGATAAAAACAAATAAAATAAAATAAAACCTACATAGGCCTACAGCAATAGTGTTTTGTGTTGTGTAGGCTCTTATGATGTAAGTCAGGGATGTCCACCAGGTTGATTGTGATCTACTGGCAGATCCCCGGGAGGTCTTGGTAGATTGCGGTCGATTGCTGGGTCCCTTTCCTTAACATTGGTAAAATAGAATCCAGCCCCGCCCTCCATTGTTGCATGATCTGCAGAATGGAAGACGGAGTTTACTCAGTGAGTAAACTCTTTCTCCCTTGAGCTTAGGCTTGAATTCACAAAAACTAAAAAAAAGCTCAACAACTTGTAGCTGAACCCCAAAAAAGGAGGTAGATCACTGCCAGCTTTTAATTCTGTGAGTAGTTCACAGTCTCTTGGGAGTTGGCCACCCCTGATGTAAGTAATGGGCATATATGCAACACAAAAAACAGCAACAAATTGTTGTCGACAAAGGACAGCTGGACATATAAAGGGCCCCATTACTTTCAGTAGCTTAGGGCCTCATCAAACCTAAATCTGGCCCTGGTGACATCACATGCACTATGTTCAGGCATGAGCATGTGACATTGCATGTTCGCATGCGGCAGCAAGCACCCACAATCCTGAGGGCGAGATGGCGTCCCTGGGACATAGGTTAGAAGTGGTCCCAGTTGGACAAATGTTTCAGGGACCCAGCACTGGGAGTGAGTGAGCTGGAAGGAGCCTCTACTGAGAGTAGCTGTTGTCTATATGGAGAATTAGGTTGAAATCCTTTACCTTCTTTATAGGGAGGAAGTCCCACTGAATTCCTTAGGAGTAGACACATATAGGATTGTGCCATTAAGTCACACATTGCATTGCATTTCATAACACATTGATTATTAATTTAACATTTCTATGCCACCTTCAGTCAAATAAGATTCCAGGGTTGTGTACCATAATATAGGCAATGAATGATTTAAAACCCAACAATAAAACACTTTTTAATATATATTTATATGGCATTTTTCTTTCATCATGTCCATGAACTGAACAAATCCAAACCTGCTTAGCTTCAGCTCATGTCACAATGCAGCTGCTGATAATTATTCACTAGTTTGATTTCACTCATCCAGCACATAAGCTTCCCCACCCCCCCAAAAATAAGTTTTTTTAGCACCCTTGCAATGAAATAGAGTCAGCATATTTTTAGACTGGAAAAGGATGCATGATTCTAAAAGGTCCAAAGAATGTCATTAAGAACTGAGAAACTTTGTTCTAGAATAGTATCACTTTTTCAGTTAGCAAAGTTTGCTTTTTCCTCCATTTGTTCCCCTTGATCATTTTACTGATCCTCAATAGCTGACATTGGACCTTAAATAACACCTGCTATGAATACAGAAAGTAAAAAGAAAATGCATTTCCAGTAGCTTCAAATATTATAGAATCATGCATGTGGTGCTGCTACATCTCTTGTGAGGAGCCTACCCACCTCCAACACTGACTAGTACAAGCCCTGTGCAAACATCCACTTCCCATGTGGCTGAAGAATTAAGAAACCAAACAAAGCTGCCTTTGGAGCCTTGAAATTCCCCATTGACATCTGGGAAGCAAACCGAGCAAACATAGGAGGTTGTTGTTGTTGTTGTTGTTTAGTCATTTGGTTGTGTCTGACTCTTTGTGACCCCATAGACCAGAGCACGCCAGGCACTCCTGTGTTCCACTGCCTCCCGCAGTTTGGTCAAACTCATGCTGGTAGCTTCGAGAACACTGTCCAACCATCTCGTCCCCTTCTCCTTGTGCCCTCCATCTTTCCCAACATCAGGGTCTTTTCCAGGGAGTCTTCTCTTCTCATAAGGTCGCCAAAGTAAAGAAGCCTCAGCTTCACGATCTGCCCTTCCAGTGAGCACTCAGGGCTGATTTCCTTAAGTATGGATAGGTTTGATCTTCTTGCAGTCCATGGGACTCTCAAGAGTCTCCTCCAGCACCATAATTCAAAAGCATCAATTCTTTGGCGATCAGCCTTCTTTATGGTCCAACTCTCACTTCCATACATCACTACTGGGAAAACCATAGCTTTAACTATACGGATCTTTGTTGGCAAGGTGATGTCTCTGCTTTTTAAGATGCTGTCATAGAGTACCTGGTCACAATCTCCCCCCCCCCCCAAATTTGTGTCCATATATATAAATTAGCATAAACCTATTTTATGCAAATCCATTATCCTTTGTTCTATTTTTGGGGTTATATACCGTATAAACAACCGCCCTACCTGCAGCTCCATTTGGCTACAAAAGAATCTGCATTATGAACGTTGCAAGGCTGGAGCCAAACCACCTGCCTTTTCCTAACAATACTTCATAGTTCAGTTCCCAAACATAATGCCACTTCAGCTCTCCCATTCTAAGTGAGGGACAACTACAGATTTTCAAGCCCAGTCTCTTCCTGTTGTCTTTGCATTATATTTAGATCATAGGCCTCTCTGGTTCAGCTTTCCAGAACCTGCCCAGCTTCTGTGTTTATTTGCAGCTCTCGGTGCCAAGTACACTCTTTGTACCACTCACATATGTAGACAAACCTGGCAGCTGTCATGGAAGGGGCCTGAGTAGCATGCAAGTAAGGGGTGGCAAAGGGCCAACAGCAGGTCTAAAAATATTGCAAGATGGAGGCATAATAGACTATTAAGTAATCTGATAGATTAAGAGAGAAATGTCTATCGTGCCTGCAGAGATGCTTGAATATGGATTAGCATAGAAAGTGCTCAGAGCCATCGGTGCTGAACTTTCTGGGAGGTCCCTTGTTCCTTCAGCTATTACTCCACTGTCCATGTATCCCCTACCCATTATAGCCTCTCCACTATCCTTACTTCTCCCCTAAGCGTTCATTCCCCCCCCGCAAAAAAAATCCACATGTAGCAAATAGCAATTTTTAAGTTGAGTATATGCGTTTTGTTAATGTCATTCATGCATGTAATGCTAAGCCAAACAATGGTTGAGCGCAACCAAGCAAATGTGTGGGTTCTCAGAATGAAGATCATGGCCCTTGTACTCCTCGCCTGGTCCTGCTGCTGCTCTGCTATCCAGGGCTAAGGCATGGTTTGGCTTAGTGTTACCTACAAATCCAGGAGCATGCCTCCATTTCTTCCAGAAACACCATGAGCTAGTTTCATTCTGCTGCTTATGGTTTGTCTGGGGGGCGACAAGTCACAAGCCCAGGGTCAGATGTAGCGCTAAGCCAAACAATAGCTTAGTCCTGGGTAGTGCAGGAGCAGCAGGACCAGGGAAGGATAAAGTATATAGAAAGTTGTACAAGTTAAAGTATAATTTAAAGTATATAAAGTATAACTTCCAGTTATATTTACTCTATGACACTCGTATTTTTATGTAGACAACTTGGATTTTTAAGCCAAAGAATGTGAATAGCCTGGGTACCTTTTATCACATGTGGTGGAACTGTAATGTAATAAAAAAATTCTGGGAAATGATATGTAATGAAATGAAAAAAATGTTCAAACTAACTTTTGTTTAAAAAAAAGCTTTTTTTATTAGGAATTATAGGTACCAAGATTCCAAAAGATAAGAAGAAACTGTTTATGTATGCTACAACAGCCACCCAGATGCTGCTAGCCAAGAGATGGAAGGAAGAGACAGCCCCGACCAAAGAAGTTTGGCAGATCAAGTTGATGCACTATGCCAAAATGGCAAAATTAACTGGGAAGCTCAGGAACCAAGAAGACAAGAAATTTAAAAAAGAATGGGAAATGTTTATAATATATATACAGAATCATTGTAAACAGGTTAAAACATTAGCAGGATTTTAAATAGACTTGTAATACAATATAAATTACAGATAATTTAGGACAATGAAAACTTTGGAGCAGTATTGTTATGCATATGAAAATAGAAGTAAGGGCCCATGGGTTGGATGGGGGGGGGGAGTCAGGAGATTCAGAGCAATCTCGATATGTGAATGTGTATGATAACTTTGATGTAACTTTTTTCTTTTTTAGTTTTTCTTTTTTCTTTCCTTATTTTTGAAAACTGTGTGTGTGTGTGTGTGTGTGTGTGTGTGTGTAATGTGAATAGCCTTGCATATAATATATGACTTTTTATTTTTGTATAACTGCTATTGATATGCACACCCTACAATTCTAGGCTTCTACACACACACACACACACACACACACACACACACACACTTGATAATGGACGCCATAGATTCAAAGAATATCAAGGATATTTTCTTCATTATGGGGAGGGAGAAAGAGATACAATTTATACAACCAAGGTGGTTATCTCACATGAGCAGGGCTGGAGGACTGTTTCTAGAGTAAAGTTCACTTTGTAAAAATACTTTATTGCCAGGAGGGAAGTTCTAGCTCAATAGCAGCAGACAGCTGGGAAGGGGAAGGTTTCAAAAAGCAGCCAATCAACCAAGACTTCCCTGAGGCCGTGTTTCATTTTTCCAGATCATTGCCAACTTTCTGCTGCCTCATTCTAGGTAGCCTCAATATGTTAGCTACTCACATGAATAGTTCATTTCCCCCCCCCCCCCAGATAAAATCACCACATTTGGGGACAAACGGTATAAGTAACAAAATGGTGACAAAATGGAAAATATGTATATTCCTCACAAGGTGCCTTAATGCTAAAACTCCCACAAGATCTCCATAAAGACTTGATAACCAACATGCCTGCCATTTTGCATGGGTGTTGTTTGCTAGACATGGGGAACTCCAGCCCATGGGCCAAATTAGGCCCACCGGGCATTCTAATTTGATACATAAGACAGCTTTCCTCAGCCCCAGGCACCTGTCCCAAGTCAGGTGTGGTGCAGGTAAATCTGTGTCTGCAAAGGAACAAGAAAGAGTGTTAGAGTGCACTCCAGATTGCTCCTGTGCAAGTTGGAATTGCATTTAGCACTTTTTAAATCACCTCCTGGCAAATAGAAGGGGAAGAAATGGAGGCAGTGAGAGATTTTACTTTCTTGGGCTCCATGATCACTGCAGATGGTGACAGCAGCCACAAAATTAAAAGACACCTGCTTCTTGGGAGAAAAGCAATGATAAATGTAGACAGCATCCTAAAAAGCAGAGACATCACCTTGCCAACAAAGGTCCGTATAGTAAAAGCTATGGTTTTCCCAGTAGTGATGTATGGAAGTGAGAGCTGGACCATAAAGAAGGCTGATCGCCGAAGAATTGATGCTTTTGAATAATGGTGCTGGAGGAGACTCTTGAGAGTCCCATGGACTGCAAGAAGATCAAACTTATCCATTCTTAAGGAAATCAGCCCTGAGTGCTCACTGGAAGGACAGATCCTGAAGCTGAGGCTCCAATACTTTGGCCACCTCATGAGAAGAGAAGACTCATAGAATCATAGAATCATAGAGTTGGAAGAGACCACAAGGGCCATTGAGTCCAACCCCCTGCCAAGCAGGAAACACCATCAGAGCACTCCTGACATATGGTTGTCAAGCCTCTGCTTAAAGACCTCCAAAGAAGGAGATTGCACCACACTCCTTGGCAGCAAATTCCACTGTCGAACAGCTCTTACTGTCAGGAAGTTCTTCCTAATGTTTAGGTGGAATCTTCTTTCTTGTAGTTTGAATCCATTGCTCCATGTCCGCTTCTCTGAAGCAGCAGAAAACAACCTTTCTCCCTCCTCTATGTGACAACCTTTTATATATTTGAACATGGCTATCATATCACCCCTTAACCTCTTCTCCGGGCTAAACATGCCCAGCTCCCTTAGCCGTTCCTCATAAGGCATCGTTTCCAGGCCTTTGACCATTTTGGTTGCCCTCCTCTGGACACGTTCCAGTTTGTCAGTGTCTTTCTTGAACTGTGGTGCCGAGAACTGGACACAGTACTCCAGGTGAGGTCTGACCAGAGCAAATACAGTGGCACTATTACTTCCCTTGATCTAGATGCTATACTCCTATTGATGCAGCCCAGAATTGCATTGGCTTTTTTAGCTGCCGCGTCACACTGTTGACTCATGTCAAGTTTGTGGTCAACCAAGACTCCTAGATCCTTTTCACATGTACTGCTCTCAAGCCAGGTGTCACCCATCTTGTATTTGTGCCTCTCATTTTTTTGCCCAAGTGCAATACTTTACATTTCTCTCTGTTAAAATTCATCTTGTTTGTTTTTGCCCAGTTCTCTAATCTGTCAAGGTCGTTTTGAAGTGTGATCCTGTCCTCTGGGGTGTTAGCCACCCCTCCCAGTTTGGTGTCATCTGCAAATTTGATCAGGATGCCCTTGAGTCCATCATCCAAGTCGTTGTTGTTGACTCCCTGGAATAGACCCTGATGTTGGGAAAGATGGAGGGCACAAGGAGAGGGGGACGACAGAGGACGAGATGGTTGGACAGTGTTCTTGAAGCTACCAGCATGAGTTTGACCAAACTGCGGGAGGCAGTGGAAGACAGGAGTGCCTGGCGTGCTCTGGTCCATGGGGTCACGAAGAGTCGGACACGACTAAACAACTAAACAACAACAACAACAACAAAGTTGGCACCAAATGTGAGACCCAGATCAGAGCTCCTGCATTAAGGTCAAATGCAAGAGTCATGGAGGAGTAATTGCCTTTTGATATGCATAGCTTGTAGATTCATCTAAAGCAGCCACCAGTATGTGAAACATGCATAGTAAAACACAGGACTCCCCTGAGGCTGCTCTGGCATTTTGTTTGGCATGTGGGTTGGTCACTGAGTACAGCAACTTTATCATGGGGTGGGGGAGTCTTTCTGCAAAAGCACAAATGCCTCTCTCTTTGCAGCATATCAGGAAGGATTTTGCTACTTGCAACATACACAAAAACACACAATGTTTCTCTTGCATGCTATGTTTGTGATAATCACATAATGACCATTGCATTCTTACGGTTTATGTTTTGACTTTTACACTAAAAAGAATTATCTTGGGGGAAGGAGGGTGGAGAGAATGGTTTAGTTTGACAACCGTGTGGCTTTCAATAAAGTCAGTCAGCTAGACAAAAATCATCTGACAGGATCCAGCAAGCAGCCAGCTGGAAATAGGATTAAGCCAGTTCTGTTTTACCAGTTCTGAATCTTATGCGGCACTTCACAATTACAGTTTTCTTCTGCTGCAATGGAAACAAAGCACACCACCAATGGAACAAACAATTTATTGCACCCACTTACAATTTTCTTCCCCAACATATCTTTATTCACTCTCTTCTCTCCAGAGTTGCCTTTTCACATAGTACATTTTGATGAAATGGGTCCCCCCACATCTAGATTCACATCAATTTTTGTCTTCACAAAACAAACACTGCCTCATGAAGATGAAGAGTTCCTTTGAGGCCTTTAGACTTCATACAGAAAGCTGCACTTCTGCTTCCATCTGCTGCGTACATGGTGCCTCAGCAGCAAGTACATCTCTCTCACATATGTCCTTTGTTCAAGCAACATTCAGCTGAATGTTACATAGTTCTAGACCTTTGCTACACTTATCACTCAGAAATGCATTACACTACACTATTCTCTCTCTCTCTCTCTCTCTCTCTCTCTCTCTCTCTCTCTCACACACACACACACACACACACACACATATATTGCCAGAGCTGTTAGTTTGTACAATATTGCTATGCATTGTATTGACTTAATTCACATGGAAAAAAGAACAGAGCATGCAAGTATTGATAAATATTGGACAGGTACATATTATTGCAAGAGCAAGGATATACTAAATAAACAGTGGTAGTAATTTTAGTCTACAATTCATACTGCATTTTTAAATGCAATTAATTTAAATGTAATTAAATGGTACCAATTTTCATATTTACAACCATTACTTGTACCCACCTGAGCAAAATGTGAATGTGATATACACCTGTTTGAACCCATGGCCAGTATGTTTCTGTTAGTGCTAGGTGAACCCATTTATTTTATTTTTTTTGATCCTCAAGGAATGCACTCTTAATTCTCCTCAAGTCCAGTAGCAGAACAGGGACCAGGAAAGAAATCCTACTCAAGCGGCCTGGGGGTCACTGCTCCTTCTAGACTCTACCTATCACCCAAATCAATAACATAATATGAAATTAGGTGTATAATACTGGATTGAGAGAAATCAGCTGGGGAATGCAAAAAGAGCCTTCTTTCTTCAGCTCTGACATCCAATTGCATCCAACTGATAGATATTCCTTGATGGCATTTCCTTTGAAACTTTGCAAACAGGTGATTCTGTCAGTCCACCAATAAGTTCTGGCACTCGCAGGGATCATATATTTTAGTGTAGAAACTGAACTCAGGGGACCGTGTGGTAACTCAATCTTTGTTTTTGTTTTTCTTGCAAAACAGCCCAGTGAGAAATTCAGCATTTTCAGCATAAAAACCACATCACTTCAAGCACACAAACGCAATGAAGAAAACTAAACCCAGACGTAATTTATTTATTCCCAATGTCTGTACAGTAAAAAGTCCTCAGCAATCCTCAGTTGGTCACTTTATTTTTTAAAAAACAAACCTAATTAGATTTTATATTGTTAAATGCTAACATGGTTGGTTAGCTTTTGGTACATGAAAGAACTATAAAAAGTTAGGAAACAAAGGAGGGGGGGACAGAAAAAACACTCCGCTCATATGTAGATTAGGGTGTGTTCTGTAACCCTGATAATTATAGAACCACTTATTTTGTGGCTCAAGGGGGGAAAAGGTTAACCATTTGAAACTCTGTTGCAAAAAACCCTCAAAGCTGTTAAAGGCTGTAAACTTCTTTTTTCTCCCCAACTGCTCAAAGGATCTGAAAATCTGCACTCTGAAATGAGCTTATTGTCTAACATCCTGGTAAAAACTTCACACAGGAGAGTGAAATCATTCCTTTGACTTAATTGGCTGCTAGTTGCAGCCTTGACACAGGAACAAAGGAGTAATTCAGCAAAGTGGTTAAAAAGGTAAAGGACCCCTGACAGTTAAATCCAGTTGCGAACAACTCTGGGGTTGTGGCGCTCATCTTGCTTTACTGGCCAAGGGAGCCAACGTTTGTCCAGAGACAGTTTTTCCAGGTCATGTGGCCAGCATGACCACATGGCGAACCAGAGCAGCACACGGAAACGCCATTTACCTTCCCGCCAGAGCAGTACCTATTTATCTACTTACACTTTGACATGCTTTCGAACTGCTAGGTTGGCAGGAGCAGGGACCGAGCAACGGGAGCTCACCCCATCGCGGGAA